TCCTTTCTTCTTTGTTTCTCTTTCAAAGGGGTAATACCTACCTATCGGTATTGTATTCACATATGATTCCATCAGGACTCGAACTCAAGTGTTTATCAACGGTTACATGTCTGTACCATCATTCAGCCACATGAGCTGGGTGTCTGCTCTTCCTTTCTCCTCCCCTGCGTCCTTTCTCTTCTCATCCCGCTCTACCTCTTCTGCATCCCCGTTTCTCTTAGGGCAGAATCACACTAAGGTCCGCATCCCCGTTTCTCTTAGGGCAGAATCACACTAAGGACTTTTTCTGCCAAAGCAGAATCACACTAAGGACTTTTTCTACCAACCTCTGGACGCGATTGCAGTAAGATTCGTCCAGGTCTGGCCGTAATTGCAGTTAGATACATGGTACAAAGTCGTAGTGTGCGTACGGCCTCAATATGCTTATCCATATTGGAATAAGCTTACGGTGCTTAATCAATACCAGATGCTTCTTGAAGTATCGTTGCGCACGTGCACTGTACTAACCTCTGGACGTGATTGCAGTAGCATTCATCCAGGTCTGGCCGTAATTCCAGTTAGATACATGTAACAAAGCCTTAGTGTGAGTGTGCTCATCCATACAAGATAAGCTTCAAATGCTTAATCAATACCCAACGTGTTCTGTTCTAACCTCTGGACGTGATTGCAGTAAGATTCATGCAGGTCTGGCCGTAATTCCAGTTAGATACATGTAACCAAGGCTTGGTGTGAGTATGCATATCCATACAAGATAAGCTTCAAATGCTTAAGCAAGACCAGATGCTGCTCGAAGTATCTATCATTGGGCACGCGTTGTGTACCATTCTGTGTTGGTCCCTTCGGGTGCGGGGGTTGAGCTTAAGTTGCTGTGCCATAGCCATTCTTGCGTTCTTGCCTGCCCTCACTCAACCCTAAACCCTTACCCTCTTAACTTCCGTTACTGTGTATTCTCTCTTCGCATGCGTATGTAATGCACACGCGTTCTCTCTTTTTCTATGTCGTTTTAGTTGTTCTATGTAGTCCTCTGTCACAGCTGCCCACCCACCCACCCACACCTCCTGCCTCCTCTCAGCCACCCACCTTTTCCTCTGACATCCGGTCCTGTGTCTTGTCTCATCGCATGCATGTTCAATGCACACGTGTTCTCTCTCTTTTTTTTGGTACGTCGTTCTAATTGTTCTGCGTTTACTCTTCTGTCGCAAACTCCCACCCACCCACCCACCCACCCACCCACCCTTCCTGCCTCCCTGAACCAACACACACTTCCCATCTAAGTTCTGTTACTGTGTGTTCTCTACATATATCTGGTTTTTCGCGTGTATAGAGTGCAGGATCTATTGAAAAAAAAGAAGAAGAAAGGATCTATTGATCTGTCGTAATCACTACCGTCCTCACCCGAATGGAATGCCCGACCATTGTAGCTGTATTGGGCAACTTTCAGTCTAGATACAGCGATAGTGATCGGGCATTCTATTCGGGTGAAGATGGTAGCGGCTCATTGTTTTGATCACACTAGTAGGCTAAAAGAAATATACACAGAAAAAGAAAACAAAAAAAATCGCTCCTTGGTTCATAATGGGCCGCCTGTTTGTCGAGTTCATGAGACTTCTGTTGGGCTTGAATCGCACACGGAGTCCAGTGGAACAGAATCCTGATCGACTGGGCGCCAATGCAGCGATGGCTGCCATGATGAAGTTTTCACTGAAGCCCAGCGTGAAGAGCTCATCACGACGATCTAGAACATCGCCCAAACTTCAGCCGGCAGAAGAATCAAACAATCCCTCACCTCCTCTCTTCCCCTCTCGCTATGGCTGCCATCAAGCCATGGCAGCCATCATGGCAGCCATCTGACCTTCCCGAAGTCGCAGCGTTACACTAGAGGTGTAACTGTCTCCCTTGCCAGTCCTACCGTCTTTACCCGAACAGAACGCCTGGTCATTATAGCCGTATGTGGTGCAACTTTCGGTCTAGGTACTGCGATAATTACCTGGCGTTGTATCCAGGTGAAGAAGGTAGGCAAGTCTGGCACTGGTCTGGGAGCATCATCATCGTCATCATCATCATGCTCAAACTGAAGACGGCCTCTCGCTTCCTCTCGCATTGCTTCGTGGCAACATGGTGTGGGTGGTATTATCACCCTTTCCATCGGCCATCTTGTGGTGTTGTTCTGTTTGGTTTCTGCACCCGCCCCTGTGGGACGCCGATGGGTTGGACTGTGGGGTGGTCCCCACATGATCAGTCAGCTTGTGCACTGTTCCGTTGTTTTCTTCAATGAGATCCCGACCGAATGCTGACAGGTCGGACTGCCAGTGTGGGGTGCTTTCAACGCTGCCCCGCTCACGGGTGAACGGGCCCAGTTGGGTTCGACAGGTGTGGGGTGTGTGGGGTGGGCGCGACAGGTTGGACGTGTGGGGTGCTCATTTCTCCCTTGCCTATCGATGGAGAGATGATGCTCCTGTTCGCACCTGATGTATTGGATTGTCAGATGGTTCCATCTACTTGTGTGTCGTCAAGGGGTTGACGGTCCCATTTTGCACTCGATGCCTCAGGCTGTGTGATGATGTGATTGCTTCCTCTGGCCATTGGGTGGTACGACATGGAGGAGGGGGAGGAGGAGAAGGAGGAGGAGGAGGAGGAGGAGGAGGAGGAGGAGGAGGAGGTGGTGAACACTAAAAAGAAGAGGAAGTAGGAAGGAAGAAGGTGAAGAAGAAGAAGAACACGAAGGAAGAAGAAAAAGAAGAAGAGGCAGTCACAGCAGCAGCAGCAGCAGCAGCAGAAGAAGAAGAAGAAGAAGACGAAGAATGGGAGGCGCGTTAGTGGAATTTCCCAGTTTTGAAATCGGATGTTATGGAAGCTTTAGACAAGGAAGAAGGTCAAGAAGAAGAAGAACAGGAAGCAACAAGAAAAAGAAGAAGAGGCAGAAGCAGAAGCAGAAGCAGAAGCAGAAGCAGAAGCAGAAGCAGAAATCGAATCAGAAGCAGAACCAGAAGAAGAAGCGGAAGCAGAAGCAGAAGCAGAAGAAGCAGAAACAGAAGCAGCAGCAGCAGCAGCAGCAGAAGAAGAAGAAGAAGAAGAAGAAGAAGAATGAGAGGTGCGTTAGTGGAATTTCCCAGTTTCAAAATTGGATGTTATGGAAGCTTTAGACGCAAGATATACTCCGTGAGGTGGTTACATGGACGTAGATGATACATTCAGGGATGCACCGACACCGAACTCTCTTTCCATGTCCCTTGTGATGCTAACCGCCACACCTCAAATTGACGGCCTGCTAGCCTCTCCAAACAAAAAGTCAGTCCCTAAGTGTGGTCAGTACTCTTAACGTTCGGGTAGCGAAGCTTACACTTGTTCAATAGTTCGTCGTGCCTTTCTTCCATGTACCTTCCTGCTCGAATTCAGAGAGTTGCCTGTACTCTTTTAAAGGTGCACGAGTCTACTGCGCATTGTAGCATAGGCAGGCGCGCCGCTTCGCAGCGGCCGCTGCAGCCGCTTTGCGACGGCCTTGCAACTGGTTTCAATTGTCATCCACTTCGATGTGGCCGCTTCGCGACAACCATTTCACATCCTATGGCATTTATAGGTCAACGGGTCACGCTAAGGTCGTGCTACATCCCCACTGAGAAGGGCACACTTCTTGATTTTTTATATGCCTGATTCCTCAGCGCACCCGAAATGGGTAAGTTGTCGTGAGTACGACATCGCTACCTGAGCGACAGGGGAGAGCGACCAAGTCGGCACATAACAACAATTTATATGGCTGTGTGGGACCATGGATGGAGTGGGCATATGGTTGCAAACAGCAGTTTGACACGCCTGTTCAGCTGGAGTTCCCAGTGTGCAACGGGCAAGTTGAGTCTGCGGAAAATCTCTGCTTGATAGTATGTCTGTTGATTTTTTTTAATTATGTTCTAACTTCAACAAGTCAGATAAGTTTTTGAGGCAGATGTACCATTTCGCCCTTATTAAAGTAATCTATCATTTGCGCGGATGCCCCCCCCATTTTCAAACATGGCTCATCCCATCCCGACAACCATATATAAATTAAGTACTGGTCCTACTACTTAATTGAATTCCCAGCTGGGCATCGGTGTGCGTTCGCATTGAGAATGTTCAGGACGGTTTTTGCACTGAGGTGCCATTACAGAGACAGAGAGAGAGAGAGAGAGAGAGAGAGAGAGAGAGAGAGAGAGAGAGAGA